CTTGAGTAGGGTGTACCTTAGTCCTCAAACTGACATTTTGTTCTGCAACACTTTAAAGAGGTTGTGTGCAGCAGATTTCCCTAATGCAGTAAGTCATTTGATTTCCTGGCTGCTGCTTCCATGGTATTTTATAAATTAGATTACACTGAACATGTTCCAAAAACAAATCTTTATTCTATCCATCTATTGTACACTAAAATGACTTCTTGTAAGATACCTTACATAAAACTATTGCTTCTTCTTTATTGAATGGATACTCTCCTTCCTCCGTAAGACAATCCATTTAGAGACTCTTGATAAGGAATTCATTTTAATACCACAGTTATTGTTACTGTTCTCCAATGCTATGCCATAGTTGGCAATAGAATTACAAAAGAAAGAAAAGTTTCCTGGAATTCTAGAAAGATATTACTCAAGGTTTAGATAGTGCATTATAATGTGATAAAAATGTGCAACAAGGATAATCTTTTATTACAGAAGAAAAACATAAAGGTCTGCTCTTACCTGCTTAAAAAGTTGCAGGTTAACTGCTGTTTCCAAGAAATGTTTCATCAGACTTGAGCGGTGCTTCACAAAACTCTCCTCACAGAAAGTGATGGGCTCACCCTAAATACAAATAAAGATTGTCAGGGCATCAATAAAGAGTTAGACCATGGGTACCAGTCATGCCGTTGATATAGTATTGTCTAAGGAATCCTGGTGTGGCACTGCAGGAGAATGCACTGGACCTCAAGGTCAGTTTGAGCCATAAGGTTGGTGGTTCAAACTCACCAGCTGCTCCTTGGAAATCCTGTACAGGGTCATTCTGAGTAAGAACTGACTCCACAGCACTTACCAACAACAGCAACAAGACAGATAGAGAGTCAGAAGAAGTGTGAGACACAGATTTGTCTTCAAGATTTTTATAGTCAAAAGGAGTTGAATACAGTCAAAAAGTTTTACTAGTCAAAGAGAGCAGAGTATTTTGACTAGCCTGAAATCCAAATAGCTGAATTCTTCTACTGACATGCTTCCAGATTAAAAA